AAATATTTCACGATAGTGGACATTATATTGATATTTCGTTGTGACTTGATTGTTTATAGATATATAGTTTCAAAAGCTGCCGAGCTAAAAAAAAAATATTTTTGAGAATTGAAACACACTGCTGTATCAATTGTTTTAAAATTAAGGACATATTAATAAATATTTAAAGAATATACAGAAATTTTGTTAAGTAAAACAATTAAATATTTTTCGAGTTACACGCGATCTCCGACGGTGCTGCAGAAATAGGTCATCCACTGCTGTTGTGCTGTAGTGATTCCAACGTTCTCCGTGGATGAAACCTAAATCGGATTATCAAAAGTCTAGTAGAAGATATTGTCCGTACAATGACGTATGGTCAAACATTTACACAATAACGGCGTTTAAAAAAAGTTCAATTTTGATTAATTTTTTGGTCTGCCAAATCGCTTTTTGATCAAATAAAAAAACTGGTCGTACATTGCTTATATGGGAAGGCATATACTGAATTTAATAGTGATCGGATCATTTGTCTCCGGATAATTACCTGATCAAATTTTAAAAATGTTGTTTTGAGAAAAACTTGTTTATATAAGAACTGTTGGAGCTTATTTTACTGAACACACTTCAGAGCAATTTAACTTTATGGAAAAAAAATCGACTATTTTTAATTTCAAATTAAATCGGTATTGAAGCATTGAATTATCATTCTAACAATAGTGTCGATTATGTTGAAGGATAAAACTATATTTCCATTCAAAAAAAACTGTACTTTAATTATTAGGCTATAAGCTTTCTAGCCCATGTAGTATAAGACACACTATGATGCTTGAGCTCCACTTTTTTGTGTTCAAACTCAGAATCGCGAAGAAGAAAATATATTTTTTGTTGGCATTTTAATTTTGGATTCCTAAAGATCTACGAGATATGAAAATGTAACCACTCCTTAACCTTTAAATTTTTGTAAGAATATGCTCACATTATGACTAAGACTATCCCAGTTTTCAATATCATCATTTATTCAAAACACTAATACTTTTCAATTTGTTTTTATTTACGTCAAAGTTATATTCCCCTAGATAACAGTCCTTTGCACTAGTCATAAATTGAATTAATTTCATTTAATACGAAATAAAAATCTTTTTACAAATCTCCATTTTAGCTTCTATTTTAAACAACTGCTATTTGGTGCTTAACGGCTTTATAAAAGTCTCGCAAATACCTGTCGAACTTTTCTATTCAAATTTGAAGCGGAATAAAATAATTGAAATGCTATAACACCTGAGCACAGCGAAAATTGCATATTATAAGCTTCAACACGCATAACGAATAAGTTTGAAGTCGCCGGCTTTCTGTCACTGCCAATTATTCTACTATAAATCGAGTTAACAACTAATTAACATAAAAATTAATTCACCCGAAAAGAGTGAGGTAAACAAACGGTACCCACAAGAGTGCCTATACGAAAGTGGGCCGCAAAAATAATGTCTGACTACAAAGACAAAGCAGCTAAAATTTAATTGGTGACACAGTGAGCAGAATGAAAGGGAAAAGGAGAATTAAACCAAATCCACGCTGTCTTTGACAGTAATATACTATGTACTTTTAAATGTATGTATGTAAGATCATGTATATATACAATTCAAAATATATATGTAAATGTGTCGCCACACAGTCTGGCTGTCTGTTGAAAAAAAAATTTTGTTAAAGTCACTCTATGGCTTGCATGTAACGTATACGCCGCGTGGTACGCTTTTCAGTTTGCGGTTGAATTGTAAAACTCATTAAATTTTTCGTCATGTCTACCATTTTATGGTGGTTCATAAACACAATTGTAATTAAATGAAATTTAATTAGGATGAATTTAGGCGAATTCTTTTAAGAATTAATTATTCGACTCTCAATTATACGCGAAGAATTATGCAGTGCTCAAACAAGTGTTTTGGAAATTATAATGTTAATTGTGTGGTTAAGGAATTTTTGGTTGGTAAAATAGCTTAAGCATTTATACAAATATGTGTATAAATACCATAACCACTTTTTCAAAGAACATTTGTTAGTGTAATTGAAGAAGTTATTACTATAAGAATTTGGTTAAAGTGAGGCTGAGCTTGAGGGAAGCTGGAGTGTTATCTCTTGATTTAAGACAGAGTTTCTAACCAGAAGTACGATTTATATTACTTTCTAGGAAAAGCTGAAGAGAAAATTTACTTCCCTTGGATTTTCGGATAGATGCAACTTTATAAATCAATAAAATATTGCGCACTCTCCTAACAACGCTTAGAAATTTCATGTGGCTCATGTCATTTTGAATATTTTTTTATATCTGTATATAATACAGACTTTTCAATTTATGTTTAATAAACTCGGGTTTAAGAGGCAATCCAGTGTGAAAAAAAACATTTCGTTATACCTTTAAAAATAACACACTAAAATTTAAAATTGATATCTCTAATAGTTTTTATGTGATAGCCTTCTAAAGTGTAGCCGTCGACAGTCAATGTAGGCAATCTTTAAAAGCATTTTTTTCGTAACAACATTATTCGAATAATTAGAAATAATAATACCTTACGTAATAGTTTTGAAGCAACTACACTCTTTTTTGGTGCGATATCGCACTACTTTAAGTTTAAGTGGAAAATCTCTTAGATAGCTCAGTTATTAACTTATTAAACATCAACTGGACGGACGAAAGTCGTTATATTCAGTGCAGTACACGTAGAAAGATATGAGAAGGAATTTCGCCTATTTTCAAGGTATAGTAAGGGGGTTGCCAAGAGAATGTTAACTCAAGTTGGATCAGTATTTAGTGATATAGGATGATACCAATCTATTTTGCAATTTTTTACCTGATGCGTTTGTAAGCCTAGTACGGTACATGATATTAGTACATATGTTTCAACCGACAATAATTTATTGGAATACTATTTTTATACTCTCGCAACCTGTTGCTACAGAGTATAATAGTTTTGTTCACCTAACGGTTGTTTGTATCACCTAAAACTAATCAAGTTAGATATAGGGTTATATATATATAAATGATCAGGATGAAGAGACGAGTTGAAATCCGGGTGACTGTCTGTCCGTCCGTCCGTCCGTGCAAGCTCTAACTTGAGTAAAAATTGAGATATCTTTATGAAACTTGGTAGACATGTTTCTTGGTACCGTGAGACGGTTGGTATTGCAGATGGGCGTAATCGGACCACTGCCACGCCCACAAAACGCCATTAATCAAAAACAAATAACTTGCCATAACTAAGCTCCGCAATAAGATACAAGACTGTTATTTGGTACACAGGATCACATTAGAGAGGGGCATCTGCAGTTAGAACTTTTTTTTAAAAAGTGGGCGTGGTCCCGCCTCTAATAGGTTTAATGTGCATATCTCCTAAACCGCTAATGCTATAATAACAAAATTCACTAAAAGCAAATGTTTTTAGCACTTCTATTGACGGTGTGAAAATAGTTGAAATCGGGTGGCAACTCCGCCCACTCCCCATATAACGGTACTGTTAAAAACTACTAAAAGCGCGATAAATCAAGCACTAAACACGCCAGAGACATTAAATTTTATCTCTGAGATGGTATAAGATGACTTTATAGGAACCGCGTTCAAAATTAGACAGTGGGCGTGGCACAGCCCACTTTTAGGTGAAAACCCATATCTTGAGATCTGCTCAAACCGATTCCAAATTCGGTGCATAACGTTATTTTCATGTTTCTATGTCATAGTGCGAAAATGGGCGAAATCGGACTACAACCACGCTTACTTCCCATGTAACACCATTTTCAATTCCATCTGATTCTTTCACTTTCCACTATGCAAATCAGGTAACAATGATTATATCGGGGTAAAACTTTACGTGAATAATGCAATTAAAGTATGCCACCTTGCGGCCAAAAATTGTCTAAATCGAACCAAAACTATTCAAACCCCTAAGTACTAAATATGTGGACCCCAGTGCCTATAGTTGACCCTTCTACCGAAAATATCAGTCAATCCACAAAGAAATCTCAAACGAGTATACCATTTGACTTTGCGAGAGTATAAAATGTTCGGTTACATCCGAACTTAGCCCTTCCTTACTTGTTCATATTGGCATCAGATTCGGTCGAGATAAATCAACTAAATCAAATCGAAATCGCAACCTAACCAAGTTACTGATTATTTAAATACACTTTTTGTCTTACCATAATTTCCATATACTTTAATAACCATCATTTTATGATGTTAGATTATGCAAACTGATAGAAAAAGGAAAGTTCTTTGCACACCCGGGAATCTTATTTCCACTTTTCAAACCTATAAGCAAAGCCAAAATATTTGCTATTTTGAAAGGATGTGTGGAAACACATAAGACTTTAACATATTAGTGGTATTGCAGAAAATTTAATATAAGGTTTCTAAACCACGGCCTATTCCGACCACAAGACAACTTGCTAATGACTGCGGTAAATTTAACACTTATTATTGAAATAGTGAGTCTAACTTTCTTTTTAAACAAAGCGCTGCTATCTTATGTGTACAGACACAGTTATGTATATATTATATATATGTATAAGTATGTACTGTGTGGAAATTTATATACATCATCCCACCAACACTTGTGCAGGTAAATGGCTTTGGTCCCTGCGCTCAAGCAACTTTAATAAAATTCAATCATTCGCCCCATTAGGATAAAAAAGTTAACTGAGCACACCCACACCAGTCAGCCAGCGCGTCGCTTACTTGCACGTGTTGATCAAAAACAGAGAAAACTTTTCGGCAGAGAAAATCTTCACAGCTGACTGGCTGCTATGAAAAGCAAAACTCTAAGAATATCGCCAACATAAAAGTGATTATAGACGAGTTTTTTTTTCTTCACGGCCACGACGTTAATTTTAGCGTACGCTTATCGAACAGATAACGAAGCAACTTGTCTGCACGCGCAAAATATTTAAAGCACTCTTAAAAGTGTTTGTGGTTGTTGTAATTAAATCAATTCATTCATACATATATTTGTGCTTTCACTCTCTTCCAGCTAAACACTCCAGCAATGGACGCTAAATTGGATTCCCGTCAAGGACAATTTCCGGCTTCCTTTCCGGACACATTCAAGGATTTCTTTGCCGTTATGAGCGAAGACGAAGATCATCTCGATTTGTTCTCTAATTTGTTAGAAGATAAGGTAATTCGAAAATGAAATTCTAATTATTTCTTAAACAAATATAAATATTAAATTAAATTAAAAAGAAGAGAAAAATAGATGAGGCAAAAATATATAAGTAAATCAAAAATAAATAATGAAGAATTATCTTGTTAAGTTGTAGTTACCCATTTTCAGATAAGCAATTAGCTATTTATACCCCCTAACCGAATGATGTATCTTAATTATGGTAAATATTTGGCCGAGCTTTTCTCTATTTATAGTTTACCCAAAAAAAAGCAATAATACTCATTCCATAAATTTTACTCCACCTTCGAATTGCTGCTATCAAATTTTATAAGAACTTTTTCATTTTCGGCGATTGCGGTTAGAAACTTTTTTTTTTTAATTTCAGATTCGACCGTAGTTTTAACTCTCAATTCCGAGAGTATAGACACGCAACCATTACACTTCGCCAAGGCGAAAATATTAAAGTTTTGTTTTTATTCAAGTAAGTTTTTATGAAATGTTCACTTCGTATCGCTGAAAGTGGTTCTTTTTGTAGCTGCTGAGATAATAGCTTTGGGCAAATATATCATCCTTTCACGTATTTTTTTACAAATACAAAATAGGCATCCAATACAAACTTGCCAACGCTTAATCCAATTTGCTTGGCTGGGATGGCCTTCCATGCCTTCAGCGAATTTTGGTTTTTTTTCGCTTTCAGCTTGGCTACGTTGTTAAGCGTCACGTCTTTTGGTATGAGTCTAGCAATGCCACGCTTTATAAAACATCATTAACCAAAATGTGAAATGTTGAAATCTACTGCTATCTCTTTGCTGCCAATACAATGATTTTCAAGCATTGTTTCTTTAACTTTTTCAATGTCATTAAAAGAGGTGGATGGACGGCCCGTATGAGGAAAGAAAAAATCTTCACTTAATGTCTTGTGCCCTTTAATAACTTGTGTTCGTGATAAAGTAGACTCCCCAAAACCCTACTGCAGCATTTACAACGATTCCGTAGCCGTGATTTCATTGAAAACACAAAAATTCAAGTAAACTCGTTGTTACATTTTTTGTTATTGGGAAAAATTGCCAGACAAACTTTTAGCACACTAATTAATACATGGAAATCAAACTTCACGCGAACATAAAAAAGTGGTGGTCCAATATAGGAAAGAGATATTTATAGATTCGGCTTTCCCGCGCAGTTTAAAATTTCCGGGTTAAATGAATGTCTACAATTTTACTTAATTACGTCCTCATTTACGTAAAAATGTGTCTCATCTGAAAAGGAGTGTGAAGCACTTCGGCAACAATAAGTAAATTATGATTATGATTTTGAGCTTTTCATTTTGTTTTATTTGAGTTCTATACAAATCAAAGTGTACATAGGTATTTATGAAAGACACAAGATCACTTTTAAGAAGAGAGTACAAGACCATGTTTTCGGTAGAATAGCACAAGTTATTTGTCATGTAAATCACCTAACGGGAGTTCTAGGAAAAATGGGAATAAGGGATGTTAAGTTGCTTGCCTCCATGAGGCATGATGGAAAGAAGGGGTTAGAATCAAACGGGCATTGTGACATAAATTTAGTATGTCGATGTCGTTTCAGGATAAAGAGGAGCTTAATGTGCAACAATATCCAGAGCGAAGTTGCACGAGGATCACTCTAAGTTCAATCCCGAACTCTTTTGCTGCTATGAGTGGTTGTTGAACTCCAAGTACGCCATTCTGGTAAGAGTCAGTGAACGTATTGACTGTGAGATTCTGTCATTGTACTAAGTGCAGGATTTTGGCAAGTCTGAAGATTCTTCATTTGCATCGTGAGGACCATAGCGGTGCTGTCTAATTAATGATAAGCCGGCCGATTGCCTTGTTAATTGCCGAAACCGTTTGTTTGTTCTTTCCCCAGACGCTACCAGCTAGCAACTTGAGAATTTTACTACGGCTCCTGTACATTGACAATAATTCTTGTCGTGTATCGAGTGAAAGAGTACAGACTGTCGAGCGTAACACTTAAAGTTTTGTTGCTATAGTCGAAAATTTAAGTCATCGACTAAAGTGTTGAGTTTCAGTATGTACTTCTTCGTCCGGTTCGTAAAAATAGTCAACGTGGATTTGAAAGGAAGATTGTAGGCTCCTGGCAGTCCACAGGCAAGAAAGGTCGTAGAGTTAGGCGTTTACTCTCTTTCCGAACGTCTGCATTCATTTTGTGATAGCAAACAAAGTATTTTTTGTGCCATTGCTCGAGGTAGTCCGATATATTAGATTTTACTGAATTGCGCTATGACAACGACCCCATTAGCCTAGCAATGGGTAACCTTTCTGCGTTAGTTGCTCGTTAAAACCATCATATTAAATACACACATCTTCTTGTTCCAACCTTTATTCCTTTACATATTATAGGTATCCATTTTTATAACCTTTTTTCTATAATACCTTTACAACCTGAATCTAAATAAAGAACGCACCTAAATGTATAAATGTATTATGTTTAACCAAAATCAAATTTTACTTTCCAATTCAACACATTGACACATTTAATCACACATACATGCATACATATACTGCTTTCAATACCTAGGTCCCTCCTTGTACATATATAACCTAGAAATAATGGCATTTCTACTACAAATTGCAACTAAACTGAATTATTTCTCGTCAAAACTGTAAAACTAGTTTCCAAACTGCCATAAATTCATTATACAAATAAGTGTTCTCATTTTGCATACAAATCATCTCATACTCTGTGTCTATCTATCACTCTCGTTCTATATTTCGCATTGGCGTGCAGGTGATACCGCATCACAACAATGCCAGCCACAGCACAGCGGGCAATAGCAACAGCAACCGATTCATGCAACGTCGACACGGCGGCAGCCTCCGCTGTCCCACACACCCACAAAGTGCCAGCGGCGAGGGCGCTCACCACTCAGTCGGCCGCTCCAGCTCATTTCGCGTACATCGACCGCGCAACCCGGCGGCCACATATGGTGGTGGTGTTGGCGGCGGCATAAGTAGTAGTAGCAGCATTATCACATTGAATAGCATCGGACAGAGTGGCGGTCATAGCATTGGCAGTGGACACAGCACTGGCAGTGGCAGCAGTGGTGGCGGCAGCAGCGGCAGCGGCAATGGCAATGGCAACCTATTTTGCAAGCACATCAAATACTGCTGTCTACATCAGCAACATTCACAATTGCCCACCATAGCGGGAACTACACCGCCTCAACATCACCATCATCCCCTCCAGCAGCAGCAACAGCAGGCACAGCCACAACAACAGCAGCCAACACAACCGAAATCACCGCATAAACACCGTTTGGCACAACAATCAGCGCAAATGCAAACAAAATCCGCAGTGACTGTGCCGACGGCTGCTGCAGCAGCTGGTCACTACCTACAACAACACGTACATCAGTATCAGCCTACAGGCGCGGCGTATGCGTCGGATTATAGCAATGAGATTAGTGGCAGTGTGCGCATGGGACCCGACGGCGAGGACAACAGTGGTGGCGATGGCAGCAAGGATCGTCAACAGCATTTGTATGGTGGGCAACATATGCATCAGCAACAGCAGCATCACCATCAGCAACAACAACAGCGTGCGGCGGCGTTGCAAAAACGGCATTCGGTGATATTGGAAAGAGCATTCGATTTTGGTGAGTGCAAAACCATAATACCATATTTCAAAAAGGCTCAGACTACACGCATACACATTTCTCTTTTAATTTCAACTCACAGTTAGTACTTATTTCGGGCTGAAAAATGAGATAGAACTTGAATGTAATAACTTACCTCACAAAGATATGCACTCACTTTTCAACGTTATTACTTGCAATAAGCCCTAAAATCAACATATTAAATTCTCGCTTCAATTTAGGTATTTCTCAAAGAGTCACATTCAAATCTTACACTCGGTTGCCCACCAAGAAAAGTTAAATACAACCAATGCTATGACGGCTGTCTGAAACCATTTCGGTAGCGGTCTCCAGTAAAATATATGAGTTTACTACATATAATAGACTAACCTATTAACAGAGCAGTAATAAAAAGAGATTTTATGAAAAGTTTGTTTGCGTCAGATTTATGCACCGAAGTTTTAAATTACTATCGAAGGTTTTTTTCATTTTCTTTATATTGTCGTCAATGGAATTTCACAAGACTGTTGGCACTTAAATATTTTTGTTATTGACAGGTCATGATGGACCATATATTTTAGGAGAAATTCCACAACTGAATTAAGATATTTTACTTGAAACATAGTTTAGGTTACAATTTTGAATTAAAGATTCCATATTTCTTAAGTAAATTCAACTTTGAGAGAAGTTAGTCCAAAAAATACCTGTTCTAATAACAATAAAAGTGTGAATAAATATCGTGGGCGAAAAAATAGTAAAATGAGATCTATATAATAAAATGGCCGCCACGAACTACTCACTTAGGACCGTCCACATTAAAAAGTTATATACACTCGTACATTCATAAAGCAATGTGTCACATATCATTTCAATCAAACTATTATTTATAAATACGTATAGTAATTGCATTAGTGCTTGTATTTTTCGATTTTATATAGTAAATTCAGTAATAATGGATAACATATGAACCAAAAACTTATCATTATTATACATACATACATACATGTGTATATAACTAACTTGACAATATAAGCAACTCAAACTCTTAAATGTTTTCACTATCTCATCATTAATTTCATTACATTCATCAATTGTGTATCTCCATCCTTCTCCTTATTTGCTACCTAATTCACTTCCGCTTCCATTATATTTCCTCCCTTTTTATGTTCATCTTCGCAGTTATTTACAAATATCTAATAACCAAACAAATATCAATCAACAACACTTCCTACTTACAAAAAGGCATCAACTGCTATGAACAGTCGAGACACCCTTTCAGTCATTAATGAAGCTACAAAATCACTGAGCCTACACGTCAAAAGCCATTTTGTCCACTTAAGGAGCGTATCTTTGTAATCGTAAAATTTTGGGTTGGTCACATCACTCAAACCACAATTGATTGCTGGTCTTTTCGTTTTGTCGGTCACTTTTACACGCCTCTTCTTTATCTCCGTTATTTTATGATTCGTATTTCCAGTACTTACCCCTACACGCTTTGTTTATTTTCGATATTATTTGCCTTTGCCCACGAAAAATACTACCGTGCCTTACCTTGTTCGGGTTTTCTTCTATCAGATAATAAAAATTTTATGAGCACAAGCAAAAAGGACAAGGAATCGTAAATCTGCTCAGCTTAACGGCACTGAAAAATTTGGCCGTTTTCCGTTAAAATGAAATGAGTTAATGCAATTTTTTACGAGATAAAAGCAAGGTCATTAGTTGCATTAATTTAAATGTGCGGTTATGCTGGGTTTTCGGCGTGCAATTAATCTGCGATGTTACGTTAGTATAGATCATATATACATATATAATGATGTGGAGCAATGTGTTTATGGTGTTTTTAGGTGAGATAGATTTATTTAGGAACCCATGAATCGAGTAATGCTCGCACACTCACGCCGTTACGCTACTGTGAATCAAGTACAAATTACATTCCATAAAATTTCACATAGGCTCAAATCTCAAAGCATGTTTTAAAAAGATTCCGTTGTGGGTCGTGTAGCTTGAATCATGTCAAAGGTTCATAAGAGGTGGCCAGTAAACTATATGAATATGTGCGAGAAAATTCATGGATAAAAGCATTGGAATAGATGGGGATGTTAATAACTCAACTATGTATACTTCGTTACAAATTAAATGCTAAATAACGTAACATCACTTTTCATAAGTTTGTAGCAGAAGGAAAACACGATATAAAATATAAACTGCTCATATTGAAACAAAGTTTGAACTTTGGTTATAACTTATTTAAATCCCATAGCAGAAGCTTAAAATTCTGTTACGAATTTATTAATTTAAACATTTTTAATTAAAAATAAAATTTTCATTTTTTAATCTAAAATAAGTTTCGCATTCAGTCTTTGTTTCTCTGCAGTTTTCAAAACACCTATCACTGTATTCAAAGAACAATTATATGATTTCACAAACAATCCGCATGTCTTCTATATTTGGTCGAGTCAAAGATAGGGCAGCAATCTGCGTGCCAACATGCAAAGGGCATAGCGCTTTCACAGAATCTCTCTTCCTGTAGATTTTTTCAATGTCCATACATTATATGAACGAGAATGGTGCGAGACTTCCGGACAGTACACTATTGTTGGTTACCATAAAATCAAATTTTTGGAAGAAGAAAACTTCAGTTATCTGAAAACCACACCACTTCGTAGAAAATTTTGCCGTTAGAACTTTTCTGACTACGTTTAGAATTATCCGACTATTATCTAGAGATAATATATCCGTATAGGTTAATATTATGTACAGTCGCACTAGTTTTAAGGTGCTATCATTTAAGTTCACCTCACTATGACATAGTGCTAAAACTACATAAAAAAACTAATACCGAGGATAAAAATATTGTGTATTTGAAGAAAATTAAACTAGAGGGGACGGAAACCATCATATTATATTAAGGATATGGAGCTAGATTAAAACTAGCTTTGATTTTATTCCGATCAAAGTCGAAAATCAAAATAGTGATACTCTAAAGCTATGTGAAGATGTGGATTGATTGCATTTAGCTTTAGGATTAAATAAAAGTATGATTTAATCGATTTTATAAAAATATCTCGCAGGTTAACCGATATTTTCGGTATAAAGTCAGCCAATGGCGCTAAGAATCTCACATTCGATATCTGAGAGCTTGAAATATTGTATTCCGCCCAACCGACGCGAGGGGCGCAATCCGCATACGTGCGGAATTAGCCGAGTCAGAAAAGGCAAGAGAGTTTTTTAAGTGTTGAGATCTAAAACTGCTCAGCTACAGAAACAAAAATTTCAACAGCCAAGATCTAAAGTTACAATATAATAAATCGTTACATTTTCATTTATTAAGAGAAAACAATAAAGTCTTTTTAATTTTGAAAAGTGAGTCAGATAAGCCAAATGTGCTGGATTGAGAATTAAAATCATGATATATACGGCGGAATGGCTTTAGTTCAAAATTTGATCTACAGGATTTTAGCAGTAAAGGTCTAAACTGCCTCGAAAGGCGAACCGGGATATTAAATTTAATTTCAGACTGGAGAAAAGAACTGCAAACAGTTCCATTCAAAATTTTCACTAAGAATATTATGCCAAGCATTTCCCTATGACTAGAAAGTGTAGGTAGATTAATAAGTTTTACACGACTAGTGTATGGAGGTAGAGTTACCCTAGAATCCCATCGGAGATGCGCTAAGACTAAAAGTAAAAATTGTTTTTGAACCGACTCTAACTTGTCAGAATGGATTTGGTAGCTAGGGTTCCATACAACAGAACCATATTCCAATATAGGTCTAACCAAAGTTGTATAAAGTGTTTTAGTAATATACGGATCTCTAAATTCTTTAGACCAACGTTTAACAAAACTGAGAACAGCTTTTGCTTCCAAGACCATGGTATCAATATGAAGACTAAAATTAAGCTTAGGGTCAATATTAACTCCCAAATCAACATAGTTAAAAACTTTCTCTAGAATATGGTGTTTTATTACATAAGAAGAGTGGTGCACAGATCTACGGGAAAAGCACATCATCTTACATTTATTGAGATTCAATGGCAAATCATTTCTATCACACCATGCAACCAAATTGTTTACGTCTGTTTGCAACAGACACCTTTCCTCACTTGAAGTGTAAAAAGCTTTACGTCGTCAGCATATAATAAAATTTTTGAGAATTCTATTACTGAAGAGATATCGTTAATAAACAACAAGAACAGAATTGGGCCAAGATGACTACCTTGCGGAACACCTGAAGAAACATTAATTGTATCTGAAGGTGTATCCTCAAATATCACTCGTTATATTCTATTATAAAGATATGAAGATACCCATTGATGGAATCTTGGCTGAAAGCCCAGCAGATCAAGTTTATGTATAAGAATCGAGATATTTACTTTATCGAAAGCTTTGCTAAAGTCTGTGTATATAACATCCGTATGCTTATGTTCCCTAAAACCCAATGATACATGGTTTACAAATTCAAGTAAGTTTGTTATAGTCGAATTCCCTTTACGAAATCCATGCTGAGATGAGGAAATTAACGGAGAAATCGAAAAGGTTATATGGTCAGTGATGATAGCTTCAAAAAGATTTAGGTATAACTGATAGTTTGGCGATACAAATATAGTTTTCAATGTTGGATCTAAATCCACTTTTATGCAAAGGAATTATAAATGACTGTTTCCATATTGAAGAAAATATACCGTGTTTAAGAGAGGAATTAAATATCCTTGTCAAAGGCAAGTAAATATATTTGGCACTATTTTTATGAAGCATGAGGGTATCATGTCTGGGCCATAACTAAAAGATGGTTTTAACTTATTTAAATTAAGTAGGACGTCTTCTTCAGAAATATTTGGAGCGTTAATAAAAGTACACGAACACAGCACTTGCTGATAAGAAAATGTTTTGGAAGAATTATTACAGTAGTTTGACTTGAAAAATTCTGCAAACATATTGGATATAATATCATTGTCACTTGAAATGATAGATTTGTATTTCATTGCGGACGGAAATTTGGAAATCCTGCGTTTGGAGTTGA